TGTAGTAAGTTTGAAGTTTAAATTATCTTTCAATGTGTAGTAAGTTTAAAGTTAAATTACCTTTCAATGTGTAGTAAGTTTAAAGTTAAATTACCTTTCAATGTGTAGTAAGTTTAAAGTTAAGTTATCTTTTAGGGTGTATTAACTTTAAAGTTAAATTACCATTCAACATTTAGTAAGTTTAAAGTCAAATGAATAAATATTAAATAAGCGTGAATTTTGCTATGCTTTTTCAAAGTTTTGCCTAATTTTTTAAATATTTTTTTTTTTTTTGATTCAAATTTTCTTACAGAGATGAAATTTTTCAAAAAATTTTTTAGATGGAACGAAAACCGGATATATGTGTTTTTGTTAGTGCTCTAACACATGAACGTGATATACGAACATGTGTACGTGATATCAATACGCAGCTAAGTCACGTAGGTGTGGCTGGTCCTAATCTTGAGGTATTGCTAAAGAAACAAACTATTTAATTAAATGAGTATTTTAGTAAGGCTAAAGTGAGCAATTAAGGTAATCAAACATTGAATTAATTTTTACAATACATTTTATAACATATTTTTTTATAATAAATTTTTAAAAGTTATAGGTTTATTTAAGGAAATAAAATTTCAAAAATCTCGGAATTATTACATTCAAGAGTTCTCGGAATTTATATTCCATTTTATATTTCAGATATATCAATCCAATTTGATTTTATTACATGAAATATCATTATAAAATTAGATGGATAAAATTAGATATATAAATATTTCAAAAATTTCATTAGCTTCATTTATCATTGTAATTATCAGATGATATATCAATAATCAACTAATTAACTATCAATCGATGATTAATTATAACATGTCTATCAATCAATCAATGGACATAATTTTGATGTTAAGTTTTCCGGTCTTTTTTAAACAAAAAAAAAAAAAAAACAAATTTGATTCAAATTTTGGATATAACAAAAAAAATCGCTTTCAAATTAAGCAACAATATTCTAATGAATGAAAAACTTGGAAACCAAACTATGTTGTAAATAAGAAAATGATCAATTCCTGAAATAATGCTTAATTCAAAAATTACTGCTATAATTGATAATTAAGATAATTAATTAACTCTCAAATAACATGATCACATGATGCAATGATATGTATAATTCATACAGAAAGATGAATAATTCAAAAATTATTACCTTTTCAGGTAACTGGTCGTGTAAAAGCTCTTAAAGTAACATTTGAATCAACAGTTGGAGCATTACATACTAATTCAAAATTATCAGCACGAAGTATTATCCTCAAAGCTCAACATATTTTTATTAAACCGGAAGCTTTATTTACATGTTCAAAATTACGGGTTTGTTTATATTATATAAAATCGATTTTTATTTTTTTTTCCAACTCACTCATCTCATATTTTCATGAAACCGGTTTTTTTTTTTTACATATTAAAAATTACGGTTTATTCATGCTACTTGAAATTCTTTACTCATATATCAGTTTATTCATTTATTTACTTTCTTTTTTTTTTACTCATATATCAGTTTATTTATTCATATATCAATTTATCTTTTTCAAATATTTCATCTTACTAATCATTTTATCATTTAAAATATTATATTTTAATGATAACTTTTCTTTAAAGAACATTTTAATTAAATAAAATTTCACAATTAAAATTAGAAAAGTATTAATAAT